AAGAGAGGGAGCGCCGAGGTCGTGGGAAGGTGGTGTTGTTGCGCAATCAATAAATAAAGAGAGGGTTTGCCGATCCACGGGCGTCCCTGTGCCGGCTGGACTAGAATGTTTTCCGCCGGAAAGAGAGTTGGAGCATGATTGGCAGAGCCGCACAGTGCGGTGTCACACCACGTCACCCCTAACCATGGGAGAGTATTATGGCAGGTAGCCACAAGAGAGGGAGCAGACCCAGGGACATCCCTATCAGCCCACACCCCATGGATGTGCAGATGATTGAGGAAGAAGAAGACGAGGAGGAGAAGGGACAGAGAGATACGCAGTCAGAAGAAGAAGATAAGTTCAAATCAACCAAGATCCAGATGGCATGTTTGGATTTTGCATTGAGCTGCTGGACCAGCGGGTTCAGGTGGAGGATTATGAGTGCGCGCTGGTAGACGCGTTGGCGGTGCTGGGACGGGGGGAGTATGGATGGCGCGACGCGGAGAGCTACCCACCAATATTGTCACGGATCATCAAGGTGGCACGGTTATGCCACACGGTGCTCAACGACCAGGTCAACTTCCGGCCCCAGATGCAACAGCTCGGCAAGCTGATGGCGGCCAAGACACAGATGGTGCTGCTGACGGCCACACTGCCACCCGGTGAGGAGGAGAAGCTGTGGTCCCGCATGCACTGCACCCGAGCGGACATATCATTGTTCCGGGCGCGGACATGCGGTCCAAATGTGGCATACCGAGTGTGGCAACCCATCATTGAAGGGTCAGAGTACGGTGGGCTCAACCGATGGTTTCAAGCACCCAGCGTGGTCAGGTTCATCCAGGACCGCATGAGACGGACGGGAGAAGGCAAGGGGGTGGTGTACTGCCAGACGGTGAATCAGGTCACGACGATGGCAAGCGCATTGGGGTGCGAGGCATATCACCACCACCAGATCGACAAGGCCGGCATACTGGAGCGTTTCCGACAAGGTCAATACCAGGTCATCGTGGCGACAAGTGCACTGGGCATGGGAATCGACATCCCCAACATCCGCAGCATCATCCACGTCGGACGGCCGCGATCATTGCTGGATTATGGACAGGAGAGCGGGCGTGCAGGGCGTGATGGACAGGCCAGTGAAGCCATCATCATTGAGCCCGAGGGTATCAGTGCAGCAATGATATGGTCAAGAAAGGATGCACCATCACTGCTGGACCAGAAGCTGGTTGATCGGTACATGCAGGCAGGGGGTGAGGAGGGTGATGAACCGATGGCTCGATGTCGACGGGTGGTGCTGGACCGGTACCTGGACGGGGAAGTGGAGGGTTACATGAGACGGCACTGCGGTGATCGACACACAGGGGAGTCCCAGTGTGACGGGTGCGATGCCGAGTGGGAGGCCAGGGAGGCCGTGTTCACCCCCAGCCCAGGTGGCACGCCCACGCCCACACCCAGTCCAGGCTACAGTTCAAGAGCAACAGCCAAGGATGACTCCAGCGAGGATGAAACCAGCCAGGAGTCAGAGATGGAGAGCCAGCAGGGTGAAACCCACATCAGATTCAACGGCACATGCAGTCCCAGAATGGCCAGAAGTGTGAGCAAGAGCACAGACGACAACATAAATGAAAGCATCACCAAGAATGAAGCTTCAACTTCAGGCGGGAGCAGCCCGGGTCAATGGAACAAGCAAGAGTCAAGTGAAATCAGTGAAGACACCAGGGGCATCCCATCAACAACCAGACAGACATTCCACAAGCAGGATGTCCGTCGAGGCCGGTTCATCATCACACACCAGCAGCGAGGGCAGAGGGCATTGATGGATGAGGAGGTTTTAGTGGAAGAGGCGCAGAGGTGGAAGGATCAGTGTTTGATATGTGCAAGTGGCAAGCGGGAGTTTGACCATGAGCTGTACCAGTGTCCCCACGAGGAGAGCCAGGAGGCAAAGAGATGGATGATGACAGTGCGGAGCAAGATCAAATACACACGGTATTCCGGGTGCTTCCGATGCGGGATGCCGCAGTCCATATGCAACAGCCGGAAGACACAGAGGCAGTGTCCGTACAGGGGATTTTTGATCCCGACAGTGGCAATGATGATGTATGGGTGTCACAGCAGCTGAGAGAGTTCAATGTGAATGCAGATGATCAGGAGGCGGTGATTGAATTTTTGAGACAGAAGGTTGAGGGACAGGGCATCGAGCACAACCAGCTGGTGGAGATGTTTTGTTGGCTGCGAGGGATATATCAGGAGGCAGAGAGGGGGAAGATGGAGTCAGAGGGTACAGGGGTCAAGTGATATCACGGGTGAGGGGCACCACAGGGGGATGAAAGACGTATATATATATAAAGGCAGGTGAAGCAAGAGACAGAGGGTAAAGGGATATAACATCGAGAGAAAGTAGATCAGTTAGGGTGATCAGTTTCAAACAGTATCATCCCATATGATAATGGGTCAGGGTCAGGGTTACAATGAGTGAGGGTAGAGGCTGGGGGGGGAGGATGAGGTGGTCAGAGTCAGGGTTAGGGTTGACAAAGAGTGAGGCTAGAGACAGGGGTGGGCAGTGAGGTCAGGATAGGCGGTTAAATTAGACGCAAACCCGTTAACCCATTGAAAGTCAAACCCGTTGGACGTCGAACCCGTTGGACGAGGAAGTCGAACACGCTGGACCCAACCCGTTGGACGTCAAACCCGTCCCAGGAGCGCATTAACCCGTTGGGAGTTGAACACGCTGGACCCAAACCCGTTGTCTAGTACCACATTGACAGGCTAAGACCAACACCACAGATACAGAAACATCTACATATTTTAGCATGAGATGATAGAGCAGCCTCTGGGCATTAAACTGATATATTCCATATTCCCATAGCCCATGTAGTGGTGGAGATATTGTGGTTTAAACAATGGAGGGTTCTATGGGACGATAATACCGTATTAGGTTAGCGTATATTTTCTACAGCAGCGCTAACCCGTTACAGTATTATCGTCCCAAAGTCCCGGTCAGCGCAAGGAGTGGTTAGATGTGGATGAAATCATGCATGCTGGCTCTCTACCAAACATATTCAATGCTATTTAAGTTGCAGGTCAGTGGAATAGAAATTACGTTGTCAATCAAGGATGCAATCTAGTACCACATTGACAGGCTAAGACCAACACCACAGATACAGAAACATCTACATATTTTAGCATGAGATGATAGAGCAGCCTCTGGGCATTAAACTGATATATTCCATATTCCCATAGCCCATGTAGTGGTGGAGATATTGTGGTTTAAACAATGGAGGGTTCTATGGGACGATAATACCGTATTAGGTTAGCGTATATTTTCTACAGCAGCGCTAACCCGTTACAGTATTATCGTCCCAAAGTCCCGGTCAGCGCAAGGAGTGGTTAGATGTGGATGAAATCATGCATGCTGGCTCTCTACCAAACATATTCAATGCTATTTAAGTTGCAGGTCAGTGGAATAGAAATTACGTTGTCAATCAAGGATGCAATTCTCTAGGGTTATTGCTAGGGTTATTGCTAGGGTTATTAGGGTTATTTCTAGGGTTATTAGGGTTCTTTCTAGGGTTATTATTAGGGTAGCTAGGTATTGTAACATCTTTTATCTCCTTATCTCTTTTAACTTCTCCAAAGGCTACAGA